ATATGTATGTATGTGTGTGTGTGTGTGTATAGGAGCTCTGGTACCATAGTGCCTAAGGCACTTGACTGCTAACCAAAAGGCTGGTGGTTCAAACTCACCAGCCACTCCTAAGAAGGAAGTTTGGGCAATCTACTTCTGTAGTGATACTGCCTCAGCAACCCAAGGAGAGGTTGTTATGAGTAGGGGCTGACTAGATGGCACATAACAACAATGGCAACATATAAAAAAATTAGCTAATATATTTGCTTATATGATTTTTATATAAATATGTACATACATTAGCTATTTTTATATAAATATATATAAATACATAAATTATATTTCTATTTATATAGTAAATAGCTGTAAAATACAGCTGTTCTTTTCATTGTGATTAAGATGAACATTTTCTAATATCTTCTTTGAAATGTTAAATAATGTGTACAGTATTCTCAACAATACCCTTCAGTATGCTAGTCACTATGCTAGTTACCCTGGAGCTTCAGTTACTAGTGAATGGCTTCCCAGCTTCCCAGGTGTCTCAATTCTGTGAAAGAGCATGCTTTAAATAGATAAGTTAAGTAACCAAACCTCTGAAAAAGAAGCAATGTAAAGAAATAAATAAATCGGCATTGTGGTGTGTGCATCTACAAGTAATTCCCAGAGATAATCAACAATAATTACCACTATAATGTAGCCTCACATTCACCTCCAAAGATAACATCCGAAAATATACTAAGTATACTTTACCATATATAGAGTACTTACCATTCCTATGAAGTGGTGGTCAGACATACCTCCACTCTCCAATGCTTTTACAATTCTGATACCAACTGTCCTCCCCATGGCACTCTCTACTTCTCTCCTAAACTAAACCTAAACAAACTCACTGCCACTGAGTTGATCCCAACTCATAGCGACCCCTCCTTGGGTTTCTGAGCTGGAAATCTTTACAGAAGTAGATTGCCCAGTCTTCCTTCTGCAGAGTGGCTAGTGGATTTGAACCACCAATCTTCTGGTTAGTAGTCAAATGTCTTAGGCTCTACGCCACCAGAGCTCCTTCTCTCCTAAGTTTGATAATGTCTTGTAATGGCCACAAAGAATTCTATGAACTGTACTTAGAGTTATATGGTTTATTAGGGAAGGAATAAACTACTACTTGGGATCAAGATCAACTTAGGAATAATAGGAACAGGATCAACTTGAAAATAACAGGCTACAATTCAGTATCAGAGTTAGGAAGCCATAGGCAGGTCTGAAAGTCTATCCCAAAGTGAAGGCATATCCCTCCCTTCTTCAGTGTAGGGCAGCTGTCTCAGCTCTCTCTGCTATATATACCCAGTCTTGGCCATGCATGTCTCCTCAGGACAGGTCCCTTTTCAGTCCCCAGAGAACAATTCTTTTCTTGATCCCTGTAGGACAGGTCTCTTCCAGACCCAGCTCCATGGAAACCATCAGACATGGGGAGATGTGTTGCAGGCCTCTTGAGAAGATACTGTACAAAGAACTAAAATGGGTAGCCAAGATTGGGATGGGTAGAAAAAACATGTGGCAAATACAGGATGTATACTGTGATATGCACATCTTCATCAATTTGACAAATATTTATTGAGTGCTTACTGCGTACTGGACTTGGGGATGAAAATTAGGAGCAAGAGAGATTTACCCCCTGCTATCATGGAGTTGACAGGTCTTCCTTTTTCTGAGCACAGCCAAATTATGCTTTCCTGATTCCTTCTACAGTGTTGGTCACGCACTGAGTCCTAACCAACAAATGTGAGTGGGAATGATGGTTACCATTTTAAGACCAAGCCCATAAACCTCCCCACATATAATCATCCATAATCTTTCATAGAGTATTATTCAGATATTATCATGCAGGGTGTTTTGGTTACCTAGTGCTGCTCTAACAGAAAGTACCACAAATGGGTGACTTTAATAAACAGGAGCTTGTTTCCTTAGAGTTTCGGAGGCTGGAAGTCCGAGTTCAAATTGCCAGCCTTAAGGGGGTGGGTGAAAGCCCCAAGACCTTGGGCTTCAGCTCTGCCTCTTGCTCCTGGGCCACAGAAGCTGGAGCCTTTCTTCACTCAGGCAGCTACTGGCTGCTAAGGCTGACAAACCCCAGGTAGACAAGTAAAAAGTCACAGTCCTGGTATCACCAAACCACAGGATAGGGAATTGATTCAAGTCCATTTGTTGTTGTCATTGTTAGTTGTCATTGAGTTGTCTCCGACTCATAGTGACCCTATGTACAGCAAAATGAAACACTGCCTGGTTGTGTGCCAACCTAACAATTCCTACTATACCCGAGTCCATTGCTGCATCCCCTGTATCAATCCATCTTGTTGAGGGCCTTCCCCTCTTTCATTGACCCTCCACTTTACCAAGCATGACATCCTTCCCCAGATAATGGTCCCTTCTGACAACATGACAAAAACAGGTGAGATGAAGTCTGACCATTCTTGGTTCCAAGAAGCATTCTGGCTGTACTTCTTCCAGGACAGATTTTTTAGTTCTTTTAGCAGTCCACAGTACTTTCAGCATTCTTTGCCAGCACCACAACTCAAAAGCATCAACTCTTCTTCAGTCTTCCTTATTGACTGTTTACCTCTCACATGCATACGAAGTGATTGAAAATACCATGGCTCGGGTCAGTCGCATCTTATTCTTCAAAGAGATATCTTTGCTCTTCAGCATTTAGAAGAAATTTTTTGCAACTGATTTTCCCGATACATCTTTTGATGTCTTGACTGCTGCTTCCATTAGGATTGATTGTAGAACCAAGCAATATGAAGTCTTTGACAACTTCAATCTTTTCTCCCTCTATTTTGATGCTGCTTATTGGCCCAGTTGTGAATATTTTTGTTGTTTTTATATTGAGGTGTAATCCATACTGTAGACTGCAGTCTTTAGTTTTCATCAGTAAGTGCACTCAATCATCCTCACTTTCAGCAAGCAAAGTTGTGTCGTTTGCATATCTCAGGTTATTAATGAGCCTTCCCCCAATCCTGATGCCATGTTCTTCTTCAAATAGTCCAGCTTCTCAGATTATTTGCTCAGCATACAGATTGAATAAATATGGTGAAAGATACCACCTTGATGCACCACTTTCCTGATTTTAAACCATGCAGCATCCCCTTGTTCTGTTTGAACGACAGCCTCCTGGTATGTGTACAGGTTCCTCACGAGTACAATTAAGTGTTCTGGAATTCCCATTCTTTTCCATGTTATCCACAATTTGTTAATGATCCACACAATCTAATGGCTTTGCATAGTCAACAAAACACAAGTAAACATCTTTCTGGTATTTGCTTTGAGCCAAAATCCATCTGACATTAGCTATGATATCCCTTACACTATGTCCCCTTCTGAATCCAGCTTCCGTTTCTGGAAGTTCTCTGTCTATATACTGCTACAACCATTTTTGGATTATCTTCAGTAAGATTTTACTTGCATGTGATATTAATGGTATTGTTCAATAATTTCCACATTCTGTGGGATCATCTTTCTTTGGAATGGGTACATATATGGATCTCTTCCAGTCAATTGGCCAGGTAGCTGTCTTCCAAATCTCTTGGCATAATGGAGTGAGTGTATCCAGAAGAGTGCCCATTTGTTGAAACATCTCAATGGGTATTCCATCAATTCCCTAAGCCTTGTTTTTCACCAAATCTTTCAGTGCAGCCTTGACTTCTTCCTTCAATACCATTGGTTTTTGATTATATGCCACCTCCTGAAATGAATGATCATTTATCAATTCTTTTTGGTATAGTGACTATGTGTATT